GGGGCACCACAGGTCTAGCAAGTATACACGACAGGCCTGTCAGGGGCACAACGGGCCTGTTGGGCCCATGAGCACCCCTAGGGGCAGGGGCACCACAGTCCTTCCAGGGACACCGCAGGCCTGTGAGGGGCACCAGCGGCCTTGCAGGGGCACCAGTCAACACAGGCCTGCCAGGTGCACCACAGACCTGCCAGGGGCACCAGAGGCCTGCCAGGAGCACCACCGACCTCGCAGGGGTAACTTGGGCCTGTCAGGGCCCAGGGGCACCACGGGCCTGTCGAGAGGCACTTCAGGCTTTTCAGGGGCACCATAGTCCTCTCCGTGCGCAGGGGTAGCAGGGGCACCAGAGGCCTGCCAGGGGCACTACAGGCCTAGCAAGGGCACCACTGGTCTATCAGGGGCACCACGAGCCTGTCATAGCCAGGCATCTCAGGCTTGTCAAGGCCCAGGGGCACCACAGGTCTGTGAGGGGCACCAGCGACCTAGCAGGGGCACCAGTCAACACAGGTCTGCCAGGGGCGCCACAGACCTGCCAGGGGCACCACAGACCTGCCAGGGGCACCAGAGGTCTGCCAGGGGCACCACCGGCCTCGCAGGGGCACCTTGGGCCTGTCAGGGGCACCACGGCCCTGCCGAGGGGCACTTCAGACTTTTCAGGGGCACCAGTCCTCTCCGGGCGCAGGGGTACCAGCGGCCTAGCAAGGGCACCAGAGGCCTGCCAGGGGCACCACAGGTCTAACAAGGGCACCACGGGCCTGTCAGGGGCACCTCAGGCTTGTCAGGGCCCAGGGACACCACAGTCCTTCCAAGGGCACCGCAAGCCTGTCAGGGGCACCAGAGGCCTGCCAGGGGCACCACAGGCCTAGCAAGGGCACCACTGGCCTGTCAGGGGCACCTCAGGCTTGTCAGGGCCCAGGGGCACCACAGTCCTTCCAGGGGCATTACAAGCCTGTCAGGGGCACCAGAGGCCTAGCAAGGGCACCACAGGCCTGCCATGGACACCACAGGCCTGCCAGGGGCACTGCCGGCCTTACAGGGGCGCCTCAGGCCTGTCAGGGCCACCACGTGCCTGCCGGGGACACTTCAGGCTTGTCAGGGGCGTTACAGTCCTGTCAGGGCCCAGGGGTACCAGGCCCGTGGTGTCCCTGCTAGGCCTGTGGTGCCCCTGGCGGTCCTGTGGTGCCCCTGTCAGGACTGTGATACCTCTGATAGGCCGGTGGTGCCCCTGGCAGGTCTTTGGGCCCCCGGGCCTCAAGGGGGGGCCATGACCCATGTGACCCCCCCCCTTGGATCCGCCACTGCCAACAAGGACAAGGACAAAACTGTTTTAACCACAAACCATGGGAAGTCACTATGAGGTCACTGGAGAATAGGACTCAGGCCAGTGACCTGGCTAGTGCACTAAACAGTCCAATTTATAGACTGTTCGCCAAACTGGAAGACATAAGTTACCTCTGTTTCAACTTTGAGTGTATCTTAAAATGGAAGCCTTGAGTCAAACTTGGACTCACAGTCACCAAGACAAAAACCAAAACTGTCAACTCAAATTCCACAGCCACGTGAAACTTCTGAAAGTCTAAAGGTAATAATAGTTGAAATTACTCAAATTGAGACTGTGCCTGTGAGGGTAGAGTAGATAAAATACCTAGTTAAGTTCATAAGCTGATGGCTTTTTCATTTTTCCCACTTGAAGACGGCCAGACCAGATTTTTTAAAACAAAAACTTGTTCAAGATTCAGGTGGCTGATTTGGAGAGGTGGCCGCAGGTCATACAACAGCGAAAGTCCCTGAATTACTGGAAAATTAACAAGTTTAAAAATGTAGGTATAGCTTACAAAATCTAATAATTTACAACCTAAAATAATCTAAAATAAAATTATTAAAAAGCGCCACAATTTGTGTTGCAGTCTCAAAATACATGCCACCCATTTACCTCCCACGAAAGTCCACCAAACCAGCCACCAAGATTCATCGAGATTGAATTTTGAAATCGATTTATCAACGCCGCGTGCCAGTGCCTACCATGTAAAATAGCCAGTGTATGTATGGGATATCGATATGATAACACGACCAGAACATATTGGAAGCCTGTAATGAGGACACGAAATAGAAATTATTTTTCAACCCACTCGCCCCCAATATAGAATATTTGCTTATAATCACGGGTCACAACTCACAAATTATATTTATCCGGCTTCTCTCACACTCTCACCATCTCACACACCCAACATGAACACACACCACGCTTGTGGCATAGCTTGCTTCCATATTAGGTACATTTGGAAGCATCTTAGTTCTTTTCTTCATAAGTCAGGAAATCTCTGCATTCAAATAAATAAGAAGGGCAGCAATTTTGCAAATTTAAATTGATAAGAAATCACTCTGAATGTTTATGAGAAAGATTCTGAACAAAGAATTTGAAATTTCAGTCTATAAAGGCTTATCCTGTAAAACAAATCATTAATACTTTTTACCTTACCTTACCTTACCTTACTGTTGGCGGGACTTTGGGAGGCCAGAGGCCTTTTGGACCCGTTCTCATCGAGCTCTTTGAATCTCGGTTATTGCTCTAGCTTAAGTAGGTATGTCATAAATATGATCAGACCAGTGACTATCAAGCCGGTTCTTGAACTCGTTAGCAGAGGTCGCCGTCACGACGTGGGGAGGCAGGGAGTTCCAGTCGTTTAGCGCCCGGACGCTCCAGTGGTTTCTCCGAGCTCTTGTCAGCGCTGTCGGTTTCGCTAGCTTCATGGAGTGACCTCTGGTGCTTGTAGAAGGAGCCGGCTGGAAGAAGTCGTCCTTTGCCAGGTTGAGGTGGTCGTTCATCAGCATGTACACCATGATTACGTCACCTCTGCGTCGTCTGTAGAGCAGGGATGGAAGCTTGAGTTTGCTGAGGCGCTCCTGATACGGAAGATGACGGATCTCCGCGACAAGCCGGGTAGCTCGGCGCTGTACTCGCTCCACAAGAAGCTGGTCTTCCTTGTTAAAGGGTCCCCAGACAATGTTCCCATACTCCAGGTGGGGGCGCACCAGCGTCTTGAAGAGAAGGGGTAACGTCTGAGTGTCCAGCAGCTCGAAGGAACGCCTGATGATCCCCAGGATCTGGTTTGCCTTCTTGATGGCCGTGGCAGCCTGCTTCCGAAACTTCAGCTGCTCGTCGACGATGACTCCCAGATCCTTCTCCTCCCCAACTTGTGCGACAGGGGCTCCAAGCAGGGAGTACTCGTGTCTGGGATTGCCGGACCCCAGATGCAGGACCTTACATTTCCTCTGATTAAAAGGCAGCAGCCAAGTCGTGGACCAGTGTTCGAGTCTTTCCAGGTCCAATTGCATCTGGGTGCGGCCCTGGGTTCCTTCCAGCCAAGGACTCGCATACAGTTTTGCGTCGTCCGCGAAGAGCTTGATATGGCATTTGACACAATCGGGGAGGTCGTTGACGAAGACAACGAAGAGAGTCGGGCCCAGGACCGAACCTTGAGGGATGCCGCTCCTTACTGAAACAGGAGCAGACCTGGCACCGTTCACGACTACTTGCTGACTGCGTCCGGTGAGGAAGGCCTCGATCCACTTCAGCAGATTCCCTCGAACCCCAAGGCCGTGCAGCTTCCGAAGTAGGCGCTGGTGGGGGACGGAGTCGAACGCCTTTCGGAAATCGAGGTAGGCGACGTCAACTGGCTCCTTATTCTCAATCAGCCGCGTCCAGTCCTCCAGGGATGACAGGAGTTGAGTAGCACATGATCTTTTCGGGAGAAAACCATGCTGAGCATCATTCAGCTGTCCCGTTTCGGTCAGGTGCTGAATAAGCCTGTCCCGGACAAATCCTTCAAGTATCTTTGACAAGACTGATGTCAGGCTGATTGGCCGGTAGTTTGTGGACTCCTGTCTGCTGCCACTCTTGTAGATAGGGACTACAGAGCCCTTCTTCCACTCGGATGGGAGCTCGCCGCTCTCCAGCGATTTCCCAAACAGCGAGCTGATGGGAGCACATAGTGGGATGGCCAGCTCACGAAGGACTCTCGAGGGGATCTCGTCGGGACCCGGGGAAGTTGACGTTTTGAGGTTGCGAAGCTTCCTCTCGACCATGTGAGGAGTTACCTCGACTCTCTCGAGGAGGGGACCTTCCCATTGAGATGTCAGGCCAGGAACGCTCGAGCAGTCTTCACTCACGAACACACTGGCAAAAGCCTCGGAGAGCACAGCCGCTTTCTCCTCATCAGAGCAGGCCAAGGAGCCATCAGGCTTCTTGAGGTCTTCGATCCCCGCCTTTGTCTTGGTCCGGGAGTTGACATATCGCCAGAAAGGCTTAACCCCTTCTTTGAGGTTGCTGACAAGCTGCCTTTCGAAGTCCCGCCTGAGTCTTCTTGTCAGACTGCGCAAGTCGTTGCAAACTCGAGTGAAGCGGGTGTGATCGGCCTCGGCATGTGTCCTGATGTAGCGCCTCCACAGTTTTGTTTTTCTATTCCTGAGTGTCAATGCCTCTCTTGTCATGTAGATACTTTTCTTCTTTCGGTGCTGTTTCAGCCTCGGGATGTGCTTGGTCATCGTCAGCTTCAGGGTGTCCGAGAAGAACTTGTAGTGATCCTCCAGGGGAGCTAGATCCATGCTCCTCCATGCAACACTCTGGAGGTCTCTGGCCATGCTCTCATACTCTCCTCTGTGAAGGTTGAGCCTGCTGTCTAGGGTGTCTCTCCTGGACGTATAGCAGTGCAGGTTGAACCGCAGTATCTCGTGGTCACTGTTGCCTAGAGCAGGGAAGTGGGCTAGATTTGTGACCATGCCCTCCTCATTTGAAAATATCAGGTCAAGGGTGTGAGGAATAAATCCATGTCTGAAGCGAGTAGGCTGCCTCACATGCTGGAATAGGTAGGCATCCCGCACAGCCTCAAGAAATTTTTTTGACTTAAGAAGTTATTCCTTCAATTTGTAAAGTAAATATTCTTATTCATATGCTGCGCAAATGTTACGAACCATCACATGCAACATTTGTGCTGAATGTCGAGAAAAGACACGGTATATAGGGCCTTGGACACGGCGTTGTTGTTGTTTGCGTGTAGTTATCGTTATACGTCTTGGGGTTGAACTTACGTTGAAATCGAATTAGGTGCAGGTACGGTGTCAGTGAAGTCGCCATTTTGCACCGCGCCGTATGCTCAAAGTCAGGGAAAGCAGCGTCGACAGGGACCGATGGTAGGTACCATTATGACGATCGCCGAATAAGCTGCGTCGACGAGGCCGAAATTCTGGGCGAGGGACACCAGAGAAACGGGTATATATTCTTCTACCTCCATAAAGATGCACACCATTCCATGCTTCTATCCTCAGGATACTGAAATCCTTCTCCTCCACGCCGAAGCCGCCCTCCGGGCTGGACAGGCAACTTTATCTCATGAGTCATGCGGGTTGCTCCCTTGGAGCGGCACCGCTGCTCCCCCGAGGGAGCGCACTTCGTAGCTGAGTGCAGTGAGTACCTTGGGGCTGGATGGCCTGTCCTCTGGACGGGCTCAGCCCCGGTGACTCACTAAGTCATTAGGGTGCCGGGCCAGACCAATGTCTCCCCCTATATCCTATCATCCTCCCGGCTCTGAAATGGTCTCATTGGACCGAAAGGGCCTAACCCAACAAAAAAAAACAAAGATGCACAAAGACTTGTGCAACCAAGCGGTCAACGTGGAGGGAGCCAGCGGGATGCTGTGACCATGGGCCACGGCGCACCAGGGAGCACAGGGTCTGAGCGGCACTGGTGGTGGAAAGACCCCCGACTGCCTCCTTGTGTATGGCTGTATGTATATTTTGGTGAGATAGTAACAAATTCGTTTGTATCATGTCTCAGGTGCTCATGTAAAAAATACCAATTTTATCCTAAGGGGCCACTATTAGCCATTGCAAATGACAGTTGCCCCAGTATATTAAAGGTATAGGTACTGGTTTTGAGAGGATCCCAATTATTTCTATTATGGAAGCAGTTAAATGAGTGTTGATTGATTCCTGGTTGTGTCTTTCCTCTGATACTATGATCTAGACCATATTTTCAAGCAATGCATTGTTCAGCAATATATAACTGATACTTGTTTGCAAGATGAAATGCACCTGCATTAACATTGTTGCTCTCATATCAATATAAGTACACCTACCTAATGCTTAAGAAGATTTAGTCTCAACATCCTGATCAGGGGCTGCAAATACCAAGAATACCTTGAAATACCAACTGACATGTGTTTTGAACCTTTTTCAGGTTTGACTGGTGCCCTTTGCTATCCATTTGATCCCAAAAAGCAGTAAGCACGAGCTTCTTGTGAAACAAGTTATCACTAAGAACTAAGAAGAGTATTGCAGACCTTACTGGATCTCAAACAGTCAAGATGAAAGTGAAGTGTTTAGTTCGAAATCCAGATGATTACATGAGAGAGACCAAAAAGGACATCTTCAAGAGTGAGTTATTGCATGCCTTCTTGTACTTGTAGCACATTTCTATTTATTTACTTATTTCAGTGGGGTTTGCAGTTTGCTCCTCTTTTTCTAGGCATGTTGAACAGTGTGCTTCTTTATGATTGATACTTTGTTGCTTAGCTACTTAAATTTGGCATTGTTTATGCAGCATGTCTTGCCTTGGTCCTGCAAGTGTGTACAATGTACATATTACAGAATGTTTAATGATGTTTAGATCTATAGATGGCCCTTTTGCTTAAGCGACCCCTCCGTCTTCCCTGTGGCAGTGCCGCGGAACTACGACCCTGACCTGCATCCGTTCGCCGCGCCACGCGAGTACACGCGCGCCATGAACGCCGCCAAGCTGGGCCGCATGCTCGCCAAGCCGTTCGTGGGCAGTCTGGACGGCCATCGGGACAGTGTCACGTGTCTGAGCAAACATCCGAGCCGGCTGTCGCAGCTGTACACGGGCGCCGCCGACGGAGAGGTCAGTGACCGGGGGGACTGAGGTCAACCGATGGGGGGGGGGGGGGTTAATGCCGGCTGTCGCAGCTGTACACGGGCGCCGCCGACGGAGAGGTCAGTGACCGGGGGGCTGAGGGGGGGGCCAGGGGTAACTGATAGGGAAGTCATTGATATGGGGACATAGATCAATGGATGGAGAGGTCAGTGACAAGAGGCTGCCAGAAAGGTAGGGGTCCACTAAGGGAGGTCAGTGTGGGGGAACTGGATGGGTACAAAGGTCACAGGGTGGGTCTCATTGGTATGGGCGGGGCTGTGGGTGCAGGGTAGGGCGTTAGTTACCGTTATCGCTGTGTCTGTGTGTGTGTGGGAACTGTGTCATAGAGAGATGTAGTTCGCTGCTCCCGGTGTGTAACGCGTGGGATTACACGTGTATATGTGTACATCCGCGCGCGGTTGATGCGTCACGCGGATTGTGCACGTTTTATCAGCCCATCAGTGCGAGGGCAGCACGACTTTCCCTTGCTACTTCCTCATTAGGGGTATAATTTGGTGAGCGCACTCGGAAAAACCTGCCCCGAAAGCACTGTGTTACATCGGTCGGGATGACTGTCATAGTGGTAGTCTGCCCCGGGGCTAATTGTCCATTGTATTCACCCCTTTATAACGGGCTATTGTGGTCGTAATAACGCCAGCGCGTGTGGCCTTGGCAGTGGATTCGCTCCGTCATTCCCCGTGATTTTGCTAACACAAAGGCGGAAATCTATCGTCCGTTCCATCTCACGTGCTCCAGCCCCCCCCCCCCCCACGCGTCTCCTTGTTCTGTCTCACTCCCTCCACGTGCACTAGTGAATCCCCACTCGTGGTTCACGCCCCAGCAGAGGTCAAAGGTCAACACTAACGCGCTCTGCACCCCGGCAGGTGCGGATCTGGGACCTGGCGCGCATGCGCTGTCTGCGCACCGTGCAGGCGCACGAGGGCTACATCCGAGCCATGACGCATACCAACGACGGCGCTGCGTTCCTCACAGTCGGGGACGATAAAACCGTCAAGAGATGGCGCTCGGGAGAGCTGGAGTACGGCGAGGAGGACGAGCCAGAGAATACCATCCTGCTGAGGGTAAATATACTGACACTTTACCGTCCTGCAGAGGGTAAATATAGCTGACACTTTACCATGCTGGTGAGGGTTAATACGGACATTCTACCATACTGCTGAGGGTAAATACAGACAGGGCATCGGCGGGTCGGGTCCGGTGTCCTAGGCACCGTAATAGTGATTGGGCAGGACATGTGTCGTGAGTTCGTGACAAACCTTTTTTGCTATGTGGCTTATTTGAAATGACTTTCAAAAACACCACGGGAAGGTGCTGCGCTGAGTCATACCAGTCTGTGCTCAGCTCGTCAGTTGATCAATTAATTCTCTCACGGCTATTGGTGTTCCAGCTTGTAAAGCCATCGCTTACATTGTATTTCTTTAGAAAATATCAGCAAGTCGTGTGGCGCGTCGTGACGTGTTCCGTTACCGTACCGTTTCGTGCCGCCCGTCTGTGACGATTATCGTGTCGTTCGCAGACGATTGTGACCAGTATCAGTCACGCCGTCGGCCGGGCAGAGTTCGCCACCTGCGGAGAGACGTGTCACATCTGGGACGAGTCGCGAAACGAGCCCGTCAAAACCTTCTCCTGGGGCGTGGACAGTCTCAGCTGCGTCCGGTACAACCCCGTCGAGACGCACGTGCTCGGTAAGACCCCCTGTCCCCCGCCCTCCAGCGTTACAATGTGTGCTGCTGTGGTTGGTCTATCAACTCTTCATCGTACACTGGGCTAATCGGCGGTGGCTGCATCATGTGTGTGGTTGTGTTTAACCGTGTTTCTGTCATCGCTGCTAGAACAACGTCAGTTTGTCGTGTGAAACATCCGTCAGATGTATCATACACGCGGCGTCTGAAATCCCCTATTCAGGGCACGTTTTGTCGTTGAGCCGTACTGAAGAATCCGATCTCGCGTGTCATGTTGGTTTTCTAGAAACGGTAGTGCCATCAGAGATCAGCATGGTTCGAGTCAACAGTGTTTTCTCCCTATGGGTTTCCCATTTCATATTGCGTTAGGGATGTGACGTACGGCATAGACTTTCCTCGTTTGGAATTTCCGTTATTCACTAGAAGCAATGTGGAGAAGTGTTTGCTCACGGTGATCTTGCTGGTGTGTGGTATTGCGTGCCTTTATTATCACCCATGTAATGTAACCATCAGAAGTAAATGGCTTGATTGTTTGATAGGCTATGATGTGTCTGATAACCCGTGTTACCGGTTCGTTTAGTCCTCTCGTAGGTGATTTTGTTCGACATTCACACCGATACCTGTGAGCGACAGAGGCGTGAAGCTATGAGATCGTTTGTACCCGCTGCTGATCTCCCTGCTTCCTCAGGAGTGAGTTTGTAGGCGACAGCGACCCTCTGTGACCTGTGACCTCAGGCTGACTCGGCGCTAACAGTGACCCCGTGACCCGGTCAGACGCGTACGCCAGTAACCGCAGTGTAATCTTGCCACTAACAGTGACTGCTGTACCCCGGTCAGACGCGTACGCCAGTGCCACTCTGTGACCGCACCACTAACAGTGACCCCTCCCCCGTGTCCCCCGCCAGGGCGTGCGTGCGCCAGTGACCGCAGTGTGATATCGCCACTGACAGTGACTCAATGTCCTGCCAGGCGCGTACGCCAGTGACCGCAGTGCGTGACCTCACCACTAACAGTGACCGCTCCCCGTGTCCCCCACCAGGCGCGTGCGCCAGTGACCGCAGTGTGATCCTGTACGACACTCGGGAGCAGCAGCCGATCCGACGAGTCACCACCCAGCTGCGCTCCAACGTGATCGCCTGGAACCCCATGGAGGCGTTCGTGTTCACCGCCGCCAACGAGGACTACAAGTGAGTCTGGGGGGGGGGGGGGGAGGAGAGGGGACGCGAAAGGCAGGGTCGGGATGTCATATGACACAACTCACTGTAAGTCAGGCCATAGAGGTTGGAAGAGAGACCGTGCTTAGAAGATTGTCTTGGAACGGATACAGCTGTTTTTTTCGAGACTGTTGGTGTTGTTATATTTCCAGGTAAGTTTTTTTTTTCAACGGCTACTTGTGTGATTTTGAGTGGGCCTGTGGCCTTCAGAAGGCACCGTGTGCCGTCTGGTTGTCGAGGGTTGTGTTCTCCGGAGATCGTTGGTTATGTTCGCGGAACCGGTCAGCGCCGAGTCATGTCCCAGTCAGTTCTGGTCCGTATTGCGGCACTCGGCCGGTAAATTCCAGTGACGCAATATCTCGGTAAATGTCCGGTACTGTCTGGTCGTCAGCAGGAAAGTCGGCAATCATTGCATTCTTTAATTACGGGGACTCCATCTTTGTCATGGAAACCCATTGACTGTGCACGTTTTACTGATATGCTACAGTTGTGGATTATGGTCGCGACTTGTTCGGAGCGCAGCAGGCATGAATCCGCTCATTCAATACCTTTAGCTATAAACAATCCGTCCATTTTCGGCAGCTATTTTTCCGATGGGACATGCACATTGCTCACCCTGTGCAGTGGTAAAGCCTTGCTCGCTCCTTTCCCGCTTCCAGCGAGTACCCGGGATATAGGTCTGACCAGTGACCATCCCCCTCCGTTCCCAATCTGAACTCGTGGGACATGCGTCGGTTTAACTCCCCTCTCCCCGTTCCCAGCCTGTACTCGGGACATGCGCCGGTTTAACTCCCCTCCCTCCATTTCCAGCCTGTACTCGTGGGACATGCGCCGGTTTAACTCCCCTCTCCCCGTTCCCAGCCTGTACTCGTGGGACATGCGCCGGTTTAACTCCCCTCTCTCCATTTCCAGCCTGTACTCGTGGGACATGCGCCGCCTACAGCGGCCGCTGCTGATCCACAAGGACCACGTGTCGGCCGTCATCGACGTCGATTACTCGCCGACCGGCCGGGAGTTCGTCTCGGGAGGCTACGACAAGACGCTGCGCATCTTCGGAGCGCGAGAGGTGAGTCCCGCGCGCCGTCCCGTCCCGTCCCATCCCGGCCCCGTCGTCCCGACCTATCCCGTCCCGTCCCCGGTCACCGTCCCGTCCCCGTCACCACCATCCCGTCCCGCCCCGTCCCCGTCTCAGAGGATGGTAGCTGGTAGACTGGGATGTCGTGAGATAACTAGTGGGGTGTTACATGGGATGTCATTGGCTGGGAATCGGTATCACGCCGTAGCAGTCACAGTCTGTCCCGCTGTTTCACACATGGCCGCCCTCATTGTAATTGGTTCCGGGTGTTTGCGTGTTCAGCATAGTCGTTAATCACCCTCCGTGGGAACACTGAAGAGGTCAATTCAGTGCGATAGTCGGGATCCTTTGTGAGATCAAATGCAAGGTTAACCCAAGGTCGTGTTGATGGTCACAGTGGTTAAGATTAACTGTATAATGTCAGGCTCACATGCCTGATAAGTGCATCATAGCAAGCCCAAGGCTATGTTTACTTTATAACCTCTGAAGTTCTCAGTGACGATGTGCATTTAGTGGATTTCGGTGGGAGTTTACCGGGTTTGATGGGAGTTTGGCGGGGTTCGATGGACGTGTGCCGCGTCCTGTGTGTCCTCCCGTGTGCTGAGCAATGTTGGACTTGTGACTTTTGGTACTGGTCCCGAATGATAAAATCTGTCCGGAGAACCGGCCAGCTTTTAGAACACTCAACAGGAAAATCATATGTTTGGCCTACTAAATGTGACAGTTTATAAAATGTAATCTCCCAATGCTATAGCTGCATGTTTTAGGCGTAATAACAGCAGTTTTTATCACATAGGCTGGAAATTTAAGAGATTTCATGTGCCAGAGTATACATTTGTAAAGGAGAACAAAATCGTTTGGACCCGACTGGGACCAGCAAAGGGCCTTATTTCCAACGTTGGTGCTGAGTGGCTCCGGCTGGACGCCGGGCGCGGTTCCTCGGCGGTTGGTCCGGCCGCCCGCCGTGGGAGAATCACTGGGACCGTGAGCCGGCGGTGGTCGTCAGTCCGGCCTTTGTGCGCCGCTGGTCGCCGGCGCCGGCCACACCCGGATGGTCTGTCTGCGGCAGACCGGCGGGCGGGGCAGACTGCACGGTCCGCCGCCGGCAGACTGGACAGGACGGCGTAACCCGGCCGGATTATGGGCGGGGTACTAGGGGACGGGACGGTCTACCATACACGGGCAGTGGACAAAGGGCACCCATCTAACCCTGCCCACTCCTCTACGGATCCAAGCTCCGGGACATTCGCCACCCGCGGGCAGCGGACAGTGAACAGCCCTCTGACCCCGCCCCTCCCCCACAGCCCCGCTCTCGGGACATTTACCACTTACAGCGGACAGTGAACAGCCCTCTGACCGCCCGCTCCTCCACAGCCCCGCTCTCGGGACATTTACCACTTACAGCGGACAGTGAACAGCCCTCTGACCGCCCGCTCCCCCACAGCCCCGCTCTCGGGACATTAACCACCCACAGCGGACAGTGAACAGCCCTCTGACCGCCCGCTCCCCCACAGCCCCGCTCTCGGGACATTTACCACACGCGGCGGACAGTGAACAGCCCTCTGACCGTCCGCTCCCCCACAGCCCCGCTCTCGGGACATTTACCACACGCGGCGCATGCAGCGGATCACCTGTGTCTGCTGGACCGGTGACGACAAATACGTGCTGAGCGGCAGCGACGAGATGAACATCCGACTGTGGAAGGCGCGGGCCAGCGAGAAGCTCGGCGTGGTCAAGGAGCGCGAGCGCGCCGCGCGCCAGTACAACGAGCGGCTGGTGGAGAAGTTCGCCAGCCACCCGCAGGTGTCACGTATCGCGCGCCACCGCCAGGTGCCCCGCCAGGTGCTCACTGGCAAAAAGGAACAGCGCGCCATCCACCAGAGCCAGAAACGGAAGGAGGCCAACCGGCGCGCCCACTCCAGGCCGGGCACGGTGCCGCGCGTGGCCGAAAAGGACAAGTTTGTGCTCAAGGAGGAGGAGTGAGAAGGGGTGGAGGGGGAGGGGGGATTGCTGTCGGCGCCTGTCGACTCGGTACTGTCTGTGTTATACTGCAAACAAACGACCGTGGAGTGTGGAATATATTTGTATTTTGATCGGTCTGTGTTGTGTCGTGGGAGGCATGTGGCTGGGAGAAAACCGCGGACCTAGATAACGGGCGGTTTGACCTTGGAGCTTTTCATTAAAGCCGAGGATTTGGTGACGGTAACATAGCCTTAGGATAGGATTAAGATGGGATGCTAAATTTGGCCATTCTCAGGATTCGTAACGAGCCTGAACGGGGCTGGTTGATGATGCAAAGTGAAAAGCATTATTGGTCAAATAATCAACATTTTTATTGATGAAGATCATCATCCAGGGCCGCTTGTTAAGCGTGCTCTGTTGCTGGCATTCGTCTCAGTTCACTTTGACAAGGTTGCAATCAGCTTTTTTTAATTAGCAGGTCCGGCTGGATGATTCTATTTTTTTTCGCTTTCGACGGATTTCTGCTGAAGCGGTATTTGTGGTATTAGTTGCGACAGTGTAGCGTGCATTTCCGCATTATTCGCGGTCGCCGCAGTGCCGGCTAGACGGCTAAATCGGCCGGTGAGCACTCAGGTGCGCCTCTCTTCCCGTCGGCTCCCGCGGCGACCTTGGTCTCGAGCCTCCCCCCAGATTACCTTCCCTTCCCACCCTGGCGCTGCTGAGAGCTGGTGCGAACCGGCCTCCGTCTGCAGAGAGGATATAACCTCGACCTATCATCCTGACCTCGGCGGACAGAGTCCACCCGTCTGCCGTTAGCGGCGGAGCGCTGCTAACTCGGGGTGCAGATGAGCCGATTTCCCTCCTACAAGGCGCTCACTTCCAGAAGCCAATGATATCATATTGTGATCGGCTCGGAAAATTGGCATGGATTTAGGTGAAGGTCTCGCTACCTGGAGATGCCGCTTCAAGGAAATGTTGCATTTCAACGAGCTTCTTATGCATTGTAAGCCTATGGTCTTTACCATATTTGCGTCTTTGATCCATACCTGCATATCATATGACTTAACTGCTGTCACTTAGACAGTGAGAAAAATAGAATGAATTCGTTTATTTTTTAATGAACTAATACATCAGGATTAGTTTATCCTGTACCTATTATTTTTCAATGCAGGCCCAGATGCGCGTGCTGCTAACTTATTCTTTATGCAGCCGGTTTGCAGACTGTGTGATGTGGTCCGTGCCCCGTGGCCTAGGTTTTTGCGAAAAAAAGTTCATTGGCAGGTGAGAAACTGGCGTTGGGCCAGGGGCGGATCCAGAAAATCTCCAAGGGAGGGGCCATTAAAAACCAGGAGGCCCCCCCCCATAATCCCACCTGTTGGAGGCCCCATCTTCCCACTTGTTGGGCCCCCCCCCCCAAAAAAAACTGCGTCTATTGAGCTTATCTAGCTGTTCAGGCAACATCTCAACATTTGTGCAGGCTTGGAGGCCCTCTGTGCAGGTTAGGAGGCCCTGTAAAAGTGGTCATCTCTGTGAGTATAAGAGACCTCCAAGTTATGAAAAGCTTTACCAATCTTCTAACAAAGAAGTCTTCTCAGCTAGTCTTCTAAGAAATAACTAAGTGGGTAGGTTAAAAAAAAAACTCATCGGATTTCGGCCACTTTATTTTCAGGAGGCCCCCTTTTCAGCTTTTTACTTTTTAACTTTTTATTTTATTTTTGAAAAAAATCGGCCAAGGGGGGGGCCATGGCCCCCATGGCCCCCCCCCCTTGTATCCGCGCCTGCGTTGGGCAGTACTGCTATACGAGATAACGGGAACTTTGTTATGCATCAGTGCTACAAGTGATGCGGGTAGGAGTGTTTTAACGTCGCTTCTCATCCGTGGTTTAGATTGGTAGGTGACGCTGCGTTCTTTTTCGCATTTGCCGGTTGCCGGTCCCGTAGCTCAGTTGGTTAGAGCGTTGGACTCCGCGTGGTGAGAGCACGCGTTCCCGGTTATAACAGTCCGGGTTCGAAGCGCGACGGGCGCTCGACATTTATGGGCCTCCTGACAGGTATGGTTGCGGTTGGTGGCAGGCCGTAGCCAGGTGAAGTCAGCGAGGGGACCGGCCGTGCGCGGCTTTGTGCGCACGTTAAACTTTGGACTCTAAATTCTGCCATAGAATCGGAATTGCGCGATCGGAGGGTAGAGGGCAGGGTCATCGCAACAAGCTTCGCTTAGCGGTGGCTCTGTCCTTGTGAATCCTTCCCATCAGAAGGTTCGGACAAAATTTATATAAAAAAAAAAATTATATTATCGTGCTGACATTACACATTTAGGGACGAAATGACTTTGCCTACTAAGCGAAATTTCTCGGGGACCTGTGCCACGCCTATGTCGCAGCGTAGTGGTACTGCCCCATGCTGCATCGCAGTCTCCGCGTCTCTCAGCGGTTCCTGTACGCAATGCCTTCCCTAAATAAGGTGAACGAGGGATGGAAAGCAAAGTTTTAACGTCTAACATAGGGTATGGACTTTTGAGCTTTCCTTATGGCAAGTGATTTCTGACTCCGCATATGTTAGAATCATTAGGCGCCAGGTCGCCTGAGGTCAGGTCACCAGGTCGCATGTATTTGGTGCACAGCACAGATGCATCGGGATTATTATTCGCATGCATTATTCATATTCATTCATATTCGCGCTTACATAAGGCCTTGTTGATCCTTTCGACTCACTCCCGGGAAACGCAGCAAGCACCGAGCAGAGCCCTCTGCGAATACCAACCATTCGGCCGAACGAATCGCGCCCACCTGACCTTGTAATCCTACACCTGGCCCGTCTTTACCGGCGGATGTGCGATCACGTGACTGGGGAGGGTTTCGCGAACAAAGCTCAGCGGCCGCCTGGTAACGCGCGAGGCCCTGGTGGGGTGGCATATTTACGTCTGGACAACGAGGGTGCCGTGCGGCCTCGCACACTGCCGCGGGGCCCGGCCGGCTGTTTTGACTGCCTAGTGGCTGCCAGCAGCGGCGGCCGGTGCCGATGGCCGGGCAGACCGTGCTAGTCGCCGCGGAGGGCAGCGACCGCCAACAATGGGCGATCGCTACACTCGCTCGGTCGGTCGCGCCTCCCTATCGTTAGATCGGCCGGTCGCAGGCCACCGGACCGGTTCGGTGCTGTCGCTCGCGGTTCACCGGGCACCTCCTCTCTCCCGAGTGCCGACACCTCCGTCCTCCGCGCCTGAACGGCAGACGACGGGACAGATTGACCGATGACAAAAGGGGGAGGGCACTTGAGCAGACGGTTTGTAGAAAATCGTCGGGGCCGGTGATGTGTTTTTTTGTTTTTTTTTTTGTTTTTAAGGATTAGATACTAAACGTTTATGTAAAAAAAAAAAACATTCTGTTTGATATTTTGTTGGTACACCTTCCTATGAAAAGGCTAAGTCCAGTATGCTCATTTAACCCTCGCCCATGTAGGGGGGGGGGTTGGTGCAACCCCCCCCTGAGGTTTTTCGGAAATAGTGCAAAAACGGCGGCGCGCAGCGCCGCCAAATTTTGGGTACCTTATGGGGCAAGCCTTGCGCATCTTTTGATAAAAAAAATTTGACCGGGTCATGTCAGGTCACGGAGTTATGACGTCACAAAGGGAACAGCCTCCGGCCGGATTTTCACAAACTGAGTGCCAACGCCCGAGGTTTCCTGCCGGTGGTACGGACATCGGTTGATGGATCGTGATGAAACTTCCCATGCATGTTGGGGCAAGTATTGGCTATCATATGGTATAAGAAACTTGACCGGGTCAGGTCAGGTCACGGAGCTATGACGTCACAAGAGGAACAGCGTCCGGTACTATTTTTGAAAAGCGCCCGAACCACTATTTTGCTAATTCTTGTCACCTCAATGGGAATATGCAGCAAAATTAGCTTCTATAGGGAGCAAATGGACCTCCCAAATCCAAAAATACAATCAGATTTCAAAAATTTAAATTTTGATTTTTCGAATTTCTGCCGCCGACTGTGACCTTGCCGACTTCCGGCGCTCCCAACGCGCCATTTTTAGAGCTAGGGAAACGAAATACATACCAAACGATAGAGAATTGATCAAGGAACACGATAGTGAAGGTTTCAAGTCGATATCTCCCACCGTTTTGCCGCAATCGCCGCGGAAAGTTGAAAAAAGTCTATTTTTCCGAAAATTTGACCTTTGACCGGTCAAAAGTAGGTCAAATGTTGACCTAGGACCAAAAAATATACCACCAATCGCGAGATCTCGGCGAGAGCAATCCGTTGGTCTTTTCCGCTAAGCTCTACGACGCTCCGTTTTCAAACGCCAAGGGGGGGGTCGCACCAACCCCCCCCCCCTGCATGGGCGAAGGTGGCAGATCGCCGTTTACGGGCGAGGGTTAACGGTGAACAATAACTGAATGATAACTGAATAACTGAATACCTACCTATGTGTACCCACATATTTTGTTGTTGTTGATTTGATTGTTGCATACATAAGCTCAATAAGAGGATAATGTCATTACTGACCGTTTGTATGAAAACTCCTTGCAAAAGTGCCAAACAGCCTGGAGAATGCATGAGCTTAACTAATAGATTACTTACGGCTGACTTAAGCATTAAAATTCCAAAACGATCGGCTAGTGGGTCTAGAAAAAGTCTGATGTTCTTAGTCGATACATATCACTCGTTACCCAATGTTGACAGGTGCGACAAAAATAAACTAGGACCTATGGAAGCTACACCCCTGACCGCGGTACTTCTCGAAATTCATTAGGCACTCACTTTCGCGTCGTCCCAGTTGGGCGCATGGAAAGCGAGATAGAAACGCGACTGAATTTGGTACAAGCAGGTCATCTTTGAGGGGTTTGAGTCTGGGCCACACTGAAGGAATACTCGTATAGGTGTTAATAATTTGTATGCGTGCAAGGCTCTTAAGTTACTATTCAATGCCTGCCGATTTGACCAAGCTCTATTCCATAGAGGATAAAAGCCGTCAGTTTCCAACAACCAAAGCTGGCTCGTTAAAACGATTCATGCAACAAACGAAGCGGCATGATGTAATGTAAGTCGTCATTTAATCCCACGATCACGATAATATTCTCACCGTGTCGCCGAAAGGTCAAGAACAGAGCTTACACTAGCCAGTATTAGTCATCGCTGCAAGCAACTCTCATGAGAGAGCATGGATAACTGGTGGCGCGATAAAATCACGGTGTGTTTAATTTTCAAATTTGATATTGAAACGTAGACCACGTATATCACGAGACGGCCAAGTGTCGAGCGTCTCAGAAGCTGTGACTCTTCTTTACGAAACGACTGTCCTCGTGATTCCTGAGTCGCCGTCGTTTATTGTGGATGTGACTGTGGTGGTTTGACCCCTTTGGCCTGGTTCGCATTTGCGACTTGCGTACCAAAGGCAAGTTTCTACGATTGTGCAGATTATTTTTGAACGCAACCAATGAACTAGAAAGCCCCAATTTGAAAACGGAAACTGCTTGGTGACTTATGTGTATGCGTACTTGATGAATAATCGATTTCCCTCTGCAGCTGGTAACTCCCCAGTACCCATTACGAAATGTTCTGATTCTTTTCACTAGGCGAATACGCTTACGCTGCTTTCTACACTCTTCATTATTCAGTGACATGTATTTACATTGACATAGCACAACACTTCCATACGTCTGTTGCCATATTTGGAAGACACTGAGAATCTACACAACCTGTGGGTCAGCACGTGGTGCCCCCCGGGGGCTGAGTGTGTGCCCCCACCCTGCTGGAGCCCCGTGTCTGACCCCATTGTACAACAGCATACACCCCTCGCCGGGGAAAGCGTGCCCCTCGGACCGTCGACTGGCGAAGCATATATCACAGGAGGGCGGCCCCAGCTCAGAGCTGCGCGGCGGCCGGCTGCGGCGGGAAGCCGAAGTAGGAGGTGGCCAGCTGGAAATACTGGGTGACGCGCTGATCGATCCAGTAGAGGAAGTACTGCGGGTCGGCGTACACGCCCGGGATACCCTTCTCGCCGCAGCCGATGCCCCAGGCCACCACGCCGCCGTGCACGTAGCGGTCGGGCTGGGCCGGGTCGCGGCAGGCCAGCGGCGAGCCACCGTCACCGGTGCAGGTGTCGGCCACCGGAGCGTCGGCCGGCAGCGCGTCGACCGACGACGGCGGCGCGCCGGCGCACGTGAAGGAGCGGTCGAGCAGGAAGCGGCGTCCCAGGCGGGTGGTGCGCAGCTGCTGCTGGCAGTACTCGTGGCCGACGCGCTGCAGCTCCACCTGCTTCAGCACGGTCTGGTACTGGCCGCTGTCGAAGCGGTCCTTGCCCCAGCCGGTGGCGACACACTCTGCGCCCGTGTAGTCCACGCCCGGCTCGGGCAGGCACAGCGTGTCGATGTGCTCCTGCAGCTGGACGGGCCGCTCCAGGAACAGCAGCGCCATGTCGTTGTGCAGGTTGCGGCCGTTAAACTTCTCGTGCACGGCTACGCTGGCTACGTCGACGTCCTCGTGCGCGAAGAACTCGGTGGTGTGCTGGGTGTCCCACTCGCCGAGCCGCACCTTGAGCGGCGCCTGCGCCAGGCTGGCCACGCAGTGGGCGGCCGTCATCACCACCTGCGGGTGGATCAGCGCGCCGCCGCACACAAACAGGTTCTTGGCCTCGCCGCCGACGTTCTCGACGCGCAGCACGGCCGCCATCCAGGGGAACTCGCCGAACTGCGACTCGCCGTCCTGGAAGCCGGTGATGCGCGCGTTGACGCCGAACTCGTTGCGGCGACCGCAGCGCGGCACGTACGGCGGCGGCGTGGGCGGGTCGGGCGGCGCGGTCGGGTCGCGGCAGCACACGTCGATGAAGCTCGGGCACTCCGAGTGCGACAGCGGCTCGCTGTCGTTGGCCTTGCTGCCGAAGCGGATGTCGATGAGGCTGGCGCCGTCGGTGATGATCTGGTCCTCGTGGCAGAGGTAGTAAGGCACGCAGAAGTACTGGGACGCCGAACAGCGCACCGTCTCGCCCTGGTTGGCGCCCAGGCTCTGCGCCGCCAGCTCCTCGGCCGTCAGACCTGGCGTCGGCGTCGGCGGCACGGGGTCGACGATGGGCGACGGCGGCAGGTCGACGCCGCCGGTGAGCGCCGCCAGCAGCTCGGCGTCGGTCAGCGAGCTGATGTCGGCGCCCGTCTGCTGCTGAGAGCTGGTCGTCACCTGGGCGTTGGACTGGCCGGCTGACTGCTGCGGCAGACCGGCCGCGCAGGCTGCCGCCGCCAGCACGATCAAAACGCGCATTCCTGAGAAAACCAGGGAGAACATGTTGGTGATGGAGAGATTCCAGACAGTAGTAGGAAGCAATAACGTGGCAATTTTTCGAACCTGACAATTTACAATTGTTTTCTTTACCACCTTTTTAAATGATGAAATAGGTATTATCAATGAACCCAGGTGGAACGGAATATGTTCAGGTGATTTATAGTGCCGAAGAGGAAGTACCCGTATTCTTCGTTTTGGAATGCTTACCTAGAGTTGATTGATTACACCGGTGAAATCTCCGGCTCTGTCGCTGTACCCCAGCTCGTTGCTCGGCTGGCGGACTGTCTCTGGTCTCTGCGGCTCCGGCCGGCCGTTATAAAGAGCCCGTGGGATCGGTGACGTCACGATGACGTCACGGTCTCACCTGACGCGCCGGCCGGGAATTCCGCCGCTGCTGGGAGAGGGAGGCGCCGCCGAGCGCGCCACTGATAACGGTCAGAGGGGACGCCACGCACGCGCAGGTCGGACAGGCAAGCCTTGCTAGTGAAATTGCACCCGTGAGGGTGAGACGTCCATGCTTCATAGAGAAATCATAAATATGCTGATTGCTGGTGCATTTACAATGTTCTCAATCGACCCGAGTGGGACTTAAAAGTCGATGAGGGTCGAGCTAGATTCGCCTTTCCGAAATGATGTTGTTCGTTGTTTCCCATCAATTAAAGCGTCTTGCCCTTTGAGCTTCTTTCACTCGATCGAGTCGAGCAGCAGCCTACAGATTTAGGCATACCTAGGTACATAGACTGTGTCTGTGTGAGAAGGATATCGCAGATCTGCGCTGTATTCTGTTACCAGTAGGTCTAAATGCGCTGATGTAACAAAGCCGATCTAAAATACTGTCCTTGACAGACCAGCTCAGTCTTCTCCCCATTCCAACGAATGGTGGTTTTAGCTACTGAGTAACATGCAAACCTTTGTCATGGATGACATAACACTGCGAAGAACTGCGAAGACACCAATCCATTATTATCTCATCCATGCCTTTGTTAACGTTTCAGATAGTTGAGAAGTCTGTGACTGAAAACATTGAATGCAAACCTACGCATCCTAAGAACGGCGAAACGTGGACAACGACGTAAGTCATACCTGACTGATTATGTATTTGTGGAACATGGCCATGTGAACTTTCCTCGCATTATTAGGAGATATAGGTATTTAATTGAAATTAAGTAAGCAGACGCAAGAACGTTCTTGACTAGACTTTTAGGTGCAGATAATTTGTAAACGTACAGACGTCCATTGTTTAAAACCTTCATAACATCTTTCAATAATTGATTATCATGACAGACACTTTCTATGGAACTTATATGTCATTTGTGTATTTTTGATCAAGGTTCTGACCAATTCTGCGAATTCCCCTTACCTAAATACTGCAAAGAAACAATTTGATATCAACAATTTTTTCGACATCGTAATTTTTAATAGAAGTATACGAGTACAGGTGTCATTAAAACATCTTTTGGATATTATCAATGTCGGTCTCTAAAATTGCGAGATGGACTGACAGTAAGAGTTTATCGGTGGAGCCAACAAATAACTAATACCTAGTTATTTATTATTTAGTGTTATTTGTTGGTTCCACCGATAACCTCATAACACAAATACCTATGTCCTACTCCTTACATAATCAGCATGGACTGACATGCAATACGACCTTCTCTACTGAGGATGAGACAGTGACCTTACATAGAAATAAGAAAAACCATTTATTTACAATGTACTTGTATCTGTCGACCGTCGCTTGCCGTTTGTCATTATTTGGCCCAGGCCGTAGTCACTAACATACCTACCTGTAACGTGTTCGTTTTTCGTGACGTCATTGTATGAATTATGCTTCTGAGGAAATATCTTTATTAATTTTATCATTTTTGGATATTTCGTTAGATTCTGTATCACTAAGAATATCATAAAATAAAAATAAAACATATAAAATCATATAAAAACATTCACAGACAGAGAAATAGATCATATAAAATGAAACATTTTGGACAAAAATATTATTTCAATGTCAAAACTATCTTATTAAAGGGACCCTCCCACCTTCAAAAAAGTTCATGAATTGGCATGAAAGTGATGTCGCTCGGTTCAGAAAGAGCGAAAACGAATATCTACCACATTTCACCGAAAAATATTCTCCGGTTTTCAAGATATTAGACTTTTACTTTTGTTTACTTTTTGGGATCTCCGCTGTTCATAGCGACTTTATTTAAAAGTGCGGCATTTGTTGCGCGCAACGCAGCATATACCACCGCGTGCTACAAAACGTTTTAGTCAAACATTTAAAAATCGTTAGATATCTGCGCTGACGTCACACATTCAGAGGGGTATTCCTATGCATTAGCCCCTCTGAATCAAAATGCTGCAATTTTGAAATTCAATATTTCCGATTTAAGGCATTTCTCGATGTTGTGGGTGCCGAAACCGGTAATTGTGAGCCAGGGACCCCATTTTGGCTATCTCAACTCAAATCTAATGTTAAGGTGGGAGGGTCCCTTTAATGCTTCTGTTTTATACTTCCGAAAAAGTTCACACCATGACGTCAGCATTCTTTCGTGACGCCTCACGCCACCTGGTATTTATCACCGTGATTTGGCCTAAGGACAGGATAGAAAGAAACGTTAACCCTCGCCCGCACATGCCATTTTCCCATCCTAGACCGCACATGGGGGGGGGGGGGGGTGGTTGCCACCCCCCCGCGCCATTTCGTTCCTGTTGGAGATAGAGCTTAGCAGTAAAGACCAAAAAGATTCTTTGGGAAGAGACGAATCCAATGATACCCAGTTTTACCTTCTCAGGTCAGTCATTGACCTCCCAGGTCAGGTCAAACTAAAAAATGTTGCTGTTTTGGGTCACCGTTGGATATCAAGTGCGCTGCTTATCAAATACCGATGACGATGCTGTTTTCTGGTGCCAAGCCAGCTAGAACCTCTTTGTCACACTACCCGACCAGAATTTTGCTGCTGAGGTCATTTCAGGTCAAGTTAGGTCAAGGTCAATTATATGTGTTTGTATGTCTGTGTGTGTCTGTGTGTATACTGATGTGTGCACCGATTGTTTTTGGGTCCATATTACATGAAATCATGATCTGAGAAGCTTTTACCAAAAATGCAGTCAAAAAACTTCACAAAAAGTAAATTCAGCTTGCCTAAAACGCAATTATCTTAGATGACCTAGGTTGACCTTGACCCTGACCTTGACCCCTGTACATCGTCGAACAACATGTTCCATGATAGGTGGGAGGTAAGACTGGCAAAAAAGGCCGAAATCAGGGTGTCAAAAGCTCACAAGGCCCATGGCAAGCGCAAGATGTTGAGAATTGGCCATTTGGGTCATGACATGACCTGAAAAACAAGGTCATATCTCCGAAACCAAGAATCACATAAACTTGAAATTTTCAGTGGACATCAAGAAAGGATAGAGGAGCAGCTATACGAAAAATCAGTCTTCTAGCTCTAAAAATGTTGAATGCAGAGCAGAAAGACTACCTGGGGGGGGGGGGGTGGCAACCACCCCCCCCCCGGCCCCCATGTGCGGGCGAGGGTTAAAGCGCCCTTACCCTCAATTTGTTTTGATCGGGCTACCATCGCCACAATGGCAAAAGAAGCGTTTTTACCGAATCGGACCTGATAAGTTATCTTGAAATGCACATTGTCTGACGGACAAGGTTCCGGCGTTCTTTCTGCAGCTGCTATTTACTCGGTACGAACCGGTTCGTTCAGTTCCGGTAAAACCTGCTCAGGATCATTTGTCATCTGCAGACACACGGACTTCACTGACAACGCGCTGCGATTCGCGGAAACGCCGCCAGCAGGTATTGTATGAGGCATTGACGGCGGGCGGGACGCGGGTCAAGGTAAAAACTGCTGTTTTCCTTTGAGCAGACGGCAGGTTGTAAACAGATCTTGGCGGGCTGTCGTGACGCGCTCACCAGGCCCAGGTCTGTTGTTCATTAATCCAGTTTTGAGACTGGACAAGGGGCCTTCGCTCGTTTTTTTTTTTACATATCAAGCAATGCATAATATTCCACCGCGGTTTCGTGAATGGAATATGAAGCGAAGCTTGAGCTCGTGGTTATGTTATTTTCTTTGGATGTTGCATTCTATGAAAGCCGTATCGGCATTGAATGATTCACACTCGTGTGACAAGGGTTATTGTCAATGTTTGACATTCTTGGATGTCGGTGGTTCCGGTAGTTCAAACTCAGCAGCGCGCTGATCGGTGGTTAAATCAAGTTAGTATTATTTGTTGTAGTGACAGTGGGTTTTCCCGGTTTTCCCACGCGCAATGTTTATAGCAGGTACCTAATTGACTTCAAGTAGTGCCGCAGGGCCTACTTGCCTAAAAGACCTACGACATATGGAAACGTATTTTCGGGTAATTATTTGAAAAAAGCGATCTAATTGCTTGAAGCTACAAGGTTGCAAAGACAAAGACGATAAAGACACACTCCTATGAAAGCTTAAAAGCTGTGTTATTTAACGAAAGCCTGTCGAAGCGTCCCTTGCCTATAGGCCGGCAGCGACATACTAGCTCATTCTTTAGTGTGAGATCGTGACAAGCGTGCAGAGAAGACCGTTACCTTAGCTGACGGCATAACAAAAGTCGCAAGTCATACCGTGAGATCATGTCGCGTCTTTTTCCGTCTGCACTGACCACTGTGACTAATTGCTGTTGAGATTCCCCTCAGTGTAGCTCCTTGTGTGTGCTATGTGGGCTTACGTCCCTTTTGAAGCTGCCCACCAATGGACACAGTGCGATATGTATTTATGTATGTCTAATATGATGAGAACGCGCGACAATCTTAAACAAGTGCTTTAGTGATGCGATACCGGTTGGTAAGATCGAGCACATGACAGGAAGTGGCCATTCGCTTAAAATAAAATTATCTTTCAAAGGTTAACATTTTGCGATAAAAGAGCAAACAGGCAATATTTCTGGCTTTCACATAAATAACAATGTCGTTCCGTCTTATTATGAAGGGTTAGAGCTGTTTTGTTGACAAACAACATAAAATAACATGTAAGAACACTTTTAAGCAGCATGTAAAAAGTGTAGGTGTAGGATCAGCATAGGGCGCAAATAAGATCGGACAAGTAGTACATACCTGCCTTATACTACTTGGTGCAGCTGAATCTGTAAGCGGTACGTTTGCAATCAGGAAATGCGTGCTACGTAAATAGATACATGTATAGCCTATGCCATATACCTACAGGAGGAAATGAATCAACTGAGCGGATGTCGATGCCGATTAAGAAGCTCATTGCCCATACAATGCCCAGTTTCCTGCTCGTTCATAATGGATAAATAATCATCCTCTAAATACGATGCTGATCCGGAACTCCAGAACACGGCGTCCAATCCTATCATTGGCCACTGAAACTCGGCGGGCGCGGCCGTCCAGGTCTGTGTCATCGGTCACGAGATCGGT